AGTGATTGCGAATCTTGTCTCCAGTTATGACTACTCAAATCTTTGCAGTTTATGAGATATGGCGTTCGTGTGATTTTTTCAAACAATTTTCACAAGTTTTAAATATATATTTTTTTAAATTTGAAATTCCTAACCCTGTAGTTGGGTGCTATCAGAGTACTCTCAGTGGTTGGGAATCTTGCATCCAAATATGGCTGCTCAAATCTTTGTAGTTTTCGAGATAGGACGTTTTTGTGATTTTTTCAAACACTTTTCAGAATTTTTAAATTACATTTTTTTCTTCAAAATTTGAAATTCCTAACACTGTAGTTGGGTGCTATCATTTGAAATTTGAAATTCTAACCTTTCACTTGCTTTTTTTTGTTTAATTTTTCAAATGAAAAGCGTTGTTGGATGCGCCCGTTTCTTTTAACGGTTGGATTTTTTTCGTTGTTTTCATGTATTTTAGATATAAGCAGTTTTCACGTTAAAAATTCTGTTTGAAGCACCGGAGGTGCGTTCCATGCTAGTTATTTTTAAACAAGAAGCTATGATTCTCGGAAATGTCAATTTTCTGATTTGTTGATTGTTTTTTGGACTTTTCTCGATAGCTATACTGGCAAATCTGATATCATAGGTTAATCAACCCAACAGGTTGTTGGAAGCATACCTTTATAACTTGCTTCGCCTAATTTCTTTAATAAAGAAGTTATGGCCTTCAAACAAGTAAAAGTTTCGAAAATTGGACCGTTTTAGAAACCCACTTTTATGAATTTTTTCTACTTTACCGGCCGAGAACTGCTTATAGCACAAAATTTTAACGATTTCGAATTTGGATTTTTCTTGAAGGCTTCCCCATCAAATCTGAGATGTAAATTTTAATCGAAAGAAGCGGTTGCGCGATTTTTTCCTGCAGAAGCGGCTACTCCTTATTTTGTTGTAAGAAAAAGGTAAGGTCTTGGGAAAAACATTTTTTCACTCTTCTCATTTATTTTAGCAGAGAAACAACTAAGGTTCAAATATTCATTCAGTGCGGCATTAGTATAACAAATTCAAAAAATATTAAATATATACCGCCAGCTTCAGCCGATCTCTAGGTGTCCTTCAACGAGACATACAAAAATTTGGGTTCAAATAGTTTTTTAAACATTTTTCGTTTTCGAGTTTCAGGATTATCTTGTATAGCAAGTGGTGCGAAGCTCCGCTTTGCATGTGTAAAATGTTCACATTACACTTTTAGCATCAAAGATTTAAATGAGTCATGGCCCGAAGGTGCATCAATGTTTTCGTGTTTTTGCTGTTGGCACCTATTGTTCCCTCAAGCTTACTAAGTGATTGAATAGATTGCAGTGAAAACTTAAACTTTTGCAAATCGATTTACAATATGAGATAATGTTAATTTGCTCAAAGTTTCCTTATTTGACTAGCCTGTTCAGAACTAAATTTTTGTAAGCCGATTGATCAATGGGGGCGTTCAACAGTGCCGCGAAGTTTTTGTTAATTAAAAAAAAAATTGACGCGCGCTTGGAGAATTTTTGTTTCTTTAACAAGCGGCATCAATTTAAATAACCATTTTTGGCTTTTCAACTTAATTTTCAATATCGATTTGTATTAATGTTTGGGATCACTTTTTTGTTTTGGAGCAAAACTCAGAAGAAAATTGGACAAATTTGCTGAGTTAATTGTTCGTTCAGAAAAATGAAAAAAATTATGACGCCGCGCTTGGACATTTTATGTTTGCCTAACAAATGCCATCATTTAAAACTGTCGTTTTTGCCTTATCAACTTCCCTTCAATTTGAATATTATTACTTGTCAATTATTGGGGTTAAGTAAAATCATTATTTAAAATAAAATTTGGCACTATTGAACAAGATTTTGATTTTCGGCACTTTTGTTCTGCAACAAACATTTCAAACAATCGAAATCGTTGGTCATTCCTATTCGCTGAATTGGTTTTGCACAAAATTGGAGTCAAAAATTAGCAGAAATTGATTTAGGGGCAACTCTATATTCATTTTTGCCTGTTTGATTTGCTCTCACCACTATGCTAACCTGACGTTACGTTCCCTGTTAAACGAGTCTTACTAAACTGCTCGTTTTACGCTTTGATGTTGAAAGTGTAACGTGAATTATTAAAGCGTAGCGAAATATCCCGTACCACGAAATCTTTCCAAACTCATTTAGGGCAAGCTAATTTGTCCTATTTGTTCCATACACAACTAAAATTTTAGTACTGAACATTGGATATTATCAGCCTAAAATTCTTAATTTGTCATTATTTAACTAACTAAAAACTGTTCGAGACAAGTTAGTGGGGCAGTCGGATCATTCAGGGTTTTGTCCTGATACGAACAATCGTGATATTATTCAGTGCACCTCGATTTCCTACCCGTGTTTTCATTCGCCAAAACCTAAAAACGTTTTTTCTTTGCTCGCATCAGAAAAATTGATTTTTAAAAATCACTATGTAAGAGAAACAAAAACTTAATAGCTGCACTGTTAAGAAGCTTGCTTAAACTGGAGCAGGTACTATCTTTTCCGGAAAAATATATTTTAGAAGTGTTGTTTTTTGGCTTCAGTATCCGCGCTCAGTTCATATTTACACTTGCGAAAGAAAGTGTATTAGGACAAACTTTCTTCTTTTTCAATCTAACTCGCGAATAAGAGTGCTTATAATAGTGGCACTTTTGAGTCGGTAGGCTGCGGTAACAGTATATTATCCATATGTGCTTGGACATTTTATTAGTAAAAATTTAACACAGCTGATACATTTTCAATTTATCAATTGAATCGAAAAAATTATTTGTTTCAAACAGCATTACAGTAATAAAAAGCTCGATTTCAGAAATTTTCTAACCCATTGTATCTCGCAATTTTTTTGAAATGCATAATTTATACATAAATTGGCTTTATGCTTTTCAGTTAGTTACGTGTAAAATTGTATCTTTTTGTATTTGGTGCTACTTTTGCTGCATCTAATTGGCAATTTAATAGCATATGTAGCTGCTTATTGGTGGATAGTTTTTGTGAGTTTTAAGCATCCGTGGTTAGTGCGTGAGACCCACATTCGCTAGATTACAGATTCGAGTCCGGCACGTAGCCGAGTTTTTTCTAATTTGAAGCTTATTTCTATTTTTTCTTATTTCACTGGATAGAGCTGCTTTTTGATCGTGCTCTCGCAAGTGTTTGCGAAGCACAGCTTCGCCTGTGTCTATTATGCGAATTGTAAGGATGTGTTTCATCCGCTTTATAACAGTGCATTAAAGATCTATCAATATGTTTCATTGGCATGCATCGGATATTGGATTTCAGCTTTTTTCCGTGTGCTCGCGTGCTTTTGAGGCTTAGCGATAAACAATGGGTCTTGCAGATTTTTTTTCAGGAAAATGTCTTAAAAATTGTTCACGCTCAGTTTTGATTTTTCGCGGTTTGACTTGTGATTTATTTTTAAGTTCACAGCTTTTCTATTGTTTAAAGGAATCGAACAGCAAAATTGTAAAGGTCACGGAAAACGTGATCGACTTCTAATTTTGAAAATGGAAATTAATTATCAGATTTCCCAGCGAAATAAAAGATATACCTATTGATCCAGTTTTCTCAAATTGGGTTAATTTCAACACAATAGTGTCCATCATAAATTGTTCTACAATTTCAAAGAGCTTTAAGGCCATCTATTTTTTCTTCGAAATTCAAAAGTTGAAGATTTTTGAAAAGTTAAGTCGGTTTGTTTTGAGTTTCCTTGCGTTCATTACTCCTTTCCAACTGTCAGTTGACTATGTTTCTTTCAATTAGGTGTTCAATCAGGTGAATCATAAATTGTAAATTAATTTTTAAAGTCGCCTGATTTTTAAATTTCAGTTTTGCTCAATTATTTTCCGGCAACGTACACATAGTTCAAAATGCAAATGTAAGTCACAAATCTTGAAATGGCGAGGAGTCAAACTTGAAATTTTACTTGGGAAAGCTTATGCATACATGCTAATAGCCAGGTCCCTGCCTGCACCCATAGCCGTTAATTGTGACCGAAACAAAATTCTCAAAAATGTGTCAAAGTCTAAGTTTGCACAGATGAGGCAGGTTGAGACACCTTTGAGAAAAAATGTTGAAATGACTCTATAATTTTTGCTATATTTGCTTGAAATTAGTGTTATTTGGGACCCCTCTCTCACATTTTGGTTATTACCGGGAACATTTAAAAAAAACAATTTGAATTAATTTAAATTTTTATTTAAATTTCAATTTATTTAAGTGTGATATTATGAGGACACCAATTTAAATGAAAAATTTAAATTGACCCTGCTGTATTCATTCCGACGCCAAAATACAGAGTTTTCTCATGATAATTAAGTTCGCATTTCACAATTCCACGGAAAAGGCAAACAATCTAATTTTTATCGACAAATTTGATGAATTTTTGTAGCAAATAGATATGCTCAAAGGAAAATTGCTTTGGAATTCGTTTCACAAAGCTGCAAAAATTCCCAAAGTTTGGCAGAAAAACCGCTAAAAAACAGACTGAAGAAAAATTTAGAGTTCTAAAAAAAATTAAAATAGTTTCGGAATTGATGCCAACTATTTCTATAACTTTCTTAAACAATTTTTACATGGTCATCACTGACCGGTACCCTTCTATCACACTTGAACCGATTTTCATTTCTAATTAATTTTCTTTCCGCCTAACATTTATCTTTTACTGCAATTTTTTCCGGAAAGGTTTTCGGGTGTTTTCCGCTGTGTATAAGAAGGTATCCCTGGGGTGTCCATTAGTTTCTTGGGGTGGTAGCCTTGTTGAGGGAAATGCTGGTAATGGGGGAAAAGGCTTGAATCGAATAATTCGAATAAAAAACTAAGGTTTACCCCTACAATTATTCAATAGCCTCACAATATTTAGCGGAAATATTTGCTTTGATTCTGATTGTTTGAGAAAGAGAAAAGTATTTGCATATTTGAATTGAGTATTTGCATATGCAGTATTTGCATATTTGCAGTATTTGCATATTTGAATTGAGAAGTACTTGCCCTTTGGAGTAATGAGTGGAGATCTGTTTGGGTAAAGAACTACGAGGAGGAAATTGAAAGATGTATTGTGGCATCTATTTGACCAAATATATTTTGGTGAATTTAATCAACAGTAGGGAAACAGTGTTGTGCTGAAATTTATGCGGTCAAATCTGATTGGCTAATTCTAGCCAATCAAGTTAAGGTAATACGGTCAGGCATTTCAATCAACATTTCCAGCAGGTATAATTATTAGCCGAAAATACCGCAAATGTGGAAGGAAATTTGTCAAATAATCAAGTTGTTGTCAAGTCACTTGTGAAACTTTGCCCAGAAAAGAATAGTTCAGTAAAATGGCTTCAACAGGAAAAAAATCCTTATTTTTTGTCATTTCGTCTAAGAATTTTAGCTGCTTGAACTGTTAAGTGAAAGGCTGAGCCATAGTGTTTAAGTTTCATTGACTAAGTAGCAAATTGGATTTAAAATACATTAATTTCAGTTCATGTAGAAATACTGATTTCGGGCTTACGTACCAGAATTTAGACAACCGCGTATTCAGACTCGTCAGAAAGCAGACAAATACTGCATTAACCAATCAGTATCGAGACAAGGAAGAAATGAATAGTTAATAATTATTTATTTCGTAATTAGCTTTCTCATCTCGATTCAGATTGGTTAACATCGTATTTGTCTGCTTACTGACGAGTATCAATACGCGGTTGTCTAAATACAGACAGCACTCCTGATTTCGTGATGTTTAGTTCATTAGACTCAAAGGCGGTGTATCAACTAGCATAAAGCTAGACTAGCATAAAAGTTTCAAATTGGAAAATTGTATCGACTAACATAAAAATTGAAATACAAAGTTCAATTAGTCAAAACTAAAATCATTACTCACAAAATATGGCCCCCTATAAAGGAATAATTAAACATACGCAAATTTTTGGATCTACTTAACAATCCCCCCAGGCGCGGATCTAGGAATTTCTCGAGGGGGGGGGCGGATTTTCAAAAAGATTTTGAAAACTTTGTCGACTTTTTTTTAGGTCGACCAAATTGATTTTTTTAGCTCTCCCAAACCACTATAAAGACCCAAATTTGACCAAGTTTTTGAAAAAACGGGCCAAAAAAGGCTTTTTAGGCACTTTTTGGAAAATTTCGACCAAAAAATTGCGTTTCTTCGGCGCGTGCTCTCCCCTCAAAATTAGTATAGATTGGTGCCGAAGGCTCCTTTATAAAATTTTTAAGGTCAGTCGGCCAAAAATGGATATCTCAAATTAGTACAAAGGAGGGACCCTTTGGGTCGGCAGGGGGTCGAAACCTTGAGGGGGCGTCCCCCCCCCCCCCCCTAAATTGCTACTGAATCCCCCTATGGTGCCTACTAAAGAATCTCCACCCCATTCTGATTGGTCGAAAATTCGACCAACTGGATATCTTCAAGTATTTCCCTACCTAGGGTAACTAGTAACGAATTGCCACCCCTATAAAAATTAATTCAATTGTTAAGCATATATAAACTTTGTACCTAGTAACAAATCTCCCCTTTTGCAAAGTAAGGGGGGATAGTTAAAGAGATCTGGCCAACTTAATCTACTTAAAGGGGGAGAATATTAGATTCGGTGAAGTTTGTACCTTGTAACGAAGCCCCCCTCCCCCATGTTGCAGTAGGGGGATTAACTAGATCCAATCAGTTTTTTCACACATTTTACAATTTGCGCAACGATCAGTCTTCGGTTCAAGTCATTGCAGGTCGTGTTGTGAATGATCACAACAATAGGAAATTATTTTGATTTTTGATTGCTTAATTTCTCAAATTTGAATTCCTCATTTCAATTTGAACGCATTATTATTGTTTTGTAGTTCTGAGAAATAATGCTATAAAATTATGCTAGTCGATACATTTTCATGATTTCAGATGCATGATTTTAAAGACAATTATTTCACGGCTTCTTGGCGAAATTTTGTTCGATAGACGTAATGATAGAAATAATTGGGGGCGTTTAACAATGCCGAAGTACAACAGTGCCGCGAAGTTTATTGTTTGTTCAAAAAAAAATTGACGCCGCGCTTGGGGAATTTTTGTTTGTTTAACAAGCGACATTAATTTCAATAGCCATTTTTGGTTTTTCAGCTTCATTTTCAACTTCGATTTGAATTAGTTTTTGGGAGCAGTAAAAACTATGGGATCACTTTTTTGTTTTGGAGCAAAACTCAGAAGAAAATTGGTCAAATTTGCTGAGTTAATTGTTTGTTCAGAAAAATTTTTAAAAATTATGACGCCGCGCTTGGGCATTTTTTGTTTGCTTAACAAATGCCATCAACTAAAACTGTCATTTTTGTCTTATCAACTTTCCTTCAATTTGAATATAATTACTTGTCAATTATTTGGGATGAGTTAAAAGTAAAAACAATATTCAAAAAAAAAATTTGGCACTATTGAACAAGATTTTGATTTTCAGCACTTTTGTTCTGCAACAAACATTTCAACTAATCGAAATCGTTGGTTGTTTCTCTTCGCTGAATGGGTTTTGCACAAAATCGGTGTCAAAATTAGCAGAAACTGATTTAAGGGCAACTCTATTTGAAAATTGATTTTTGCCTATTTTGTAATCTCTCAATTTTAGTTCTAATGGCCTGAATTGTTTTGCCTAATTTGTTGGTAAAATGTTGGTCTGGAAAAAGACCAAGCACCCTGATTGTAATTGAGAATCTTGAGCATCATGTTCACTTCAGTATCTTCTTGATATTTCGACAGCAATTGTCGTTTATTTATTTCAGGCTAGACCAGAGGAATCATTCATGCGGTGAAGTCATTGGCCAATTGATTTTTGTAGTACCTTCGCGATTGAATATTTATTTTGGTACAAATGGGACTGATATTCATTTTGGTACTTGAAAATACCCACCCATTTTCCAAAAGTCCGAATGCTCGAAAATTATGTTTGCCAATCATGTTTTCGGTATTCGAAAATCAGAAAGAAATTAGATTAAAAATCAGTCAGTTTAGACACCTCGAAGGTTAACTTCCCAAATGGCATAAAAACAGTAATTTTACCAAATGGTATAATTGGGGCCTAGGAAATTAGACGACGAGAAATAAGACGAACGTAAAGAAACGGATTTTACGGACAACCAGTATTTACTCAGCCAAAAGATAATATAAGTCTGTAAACAAATTACACGCAAGTTATTGTCTAAATTTCGTTTTTTTCTGATCGTCTAATTTGCTTGTCGTCTAATATCCTAAACTCCGGCATAAATTTCAAGTTTTTCTTTACGCTTTCTCTCAACTATTATTTCTTTTTTTAAGAATGAGAAGATGAGTGAACAAGATTTGGAATTAATTGCCTCCAAACAAATGTTGAGTGACAATTTTGCTGGAAAAATTGGGGGCCCGGTCCTTTCAATAAGACGACAGCTGTTAAGGCGACAATCGCTTTTTGCGGGTTTTTTTGACGATGCTACTCGCAATTTTCGACGTTGTATTTCAGAGAAATTTAGGCCGCTTAAGTTTGAACGGCTCATTTTACAAGTTATAACGCTTGTAGTCTTAATGTTTTTGTTGTCTTAGTGGCTTGTCGTCCTATTTACCAGCACCGAAAAAATGATCAAAAGAAACTAATTAGTATCAACTTATGTTTTTGATAAGAACTTTTTTTTTCGAGATAATGTCAAAAAATTGAATTGACAACTTTTCACACCTTGTTTGCAAAGAAAAGATCTCTTAACATTTTTTTTCAATGCAAATATTGCATGAAAATTAAGCCATTTGAAAAATTTCTCATTTTAGGCCAATTGGGAATTATGCCTTGAGACGTAATCACCTCAAAGGAGGTTGATTGGTTGAGATTTTTTGTGCAATCGGTCTTTCTGTCAAGAGAACAGCTCCCTAGACAAAGCAATTGAACACGAAAGCGAAAAAAAAATAAACACAGAGATTTAGCGTGAGAAATATTAGAAGACGAATTATCGTCTGCTGATTGCGTATTCAGTTGGCTATCAGCCATAATGATTTTGTCATTATCTTATTTTCCCAAAAAGGTATTAACCAGACAGCAAATCTAATGGTGGAAAATTGAGCTTTTCGAAATCAACCAGCCATCCCATTAATGGAGGTCGTGTGTTAATCAAAGCGGATAAGCCACAAATTTTGTGAGAAATCAGCTGAGATGAAACAAGTAAAGGAAGAGAATTGAAACTAAAGATGACACAAGTCAAAATAGAATGGTGAAAGTATAGAAAGTCCGTTTTCATGATCATTGCGGTTGGCGTGCAATATATAAGGAAGTTTTTTTACTTGATGGTAAGACTAACTTAATGGGCTCAAAATACTAGGCTTTGTTTGGATTAATTCATATAACATAGTTATTCACCAGAAAAACGTGACGTCAAGCACAATAGGTAGTAATGGGAAAATAATGGCATTTCCGGTCATATTGCAGACTGAAACGAATTATATTGAATTGAAATATTGTGAAAACATTGATTGGAACATTTTGGTAATTTAAACTAATCTCCATGAAAATGATGAAAAATGATTGTCCTACAAAAAGTGACAAAACAGAGGTAAAATTAAAAATATTGGTCAAACAGCTATTTTTACTATGTATAATTTTTCTACCTAATGCAGTGTGATAACATTCATTCAGTTCTAAATTAAATTGGCATCGAGTCGAAACTAGTGAAAATCCCACTATCGAACAGCAAAAATGTGAAGGTCACGGAAAACGTGATCGACTTCTAATTTCGAAAATAGAAATTAATCATCAGTTTTTCCAGCGAAATAAAAGTTTTACCTATTGATCCAGTTTTCTCAATTTAGGTTAATTTTTATCAAAAAAAGTGTCAATCATAAATTGTTCTACAATTTATGAGAGCTTCAAGGCCATCTTTTTTTCTTCGAAAATCAAAAATTGAAGTTTTCCTTGCGTTCATTACTCTTTTCGAACTATCAGTTGGCTATGTTAATCAATTCTGTCATGCTTTTGGCCAACTTTGTAAGTTATAATCAGGCCCCTTAGTTATGTAAAAAAAAATGTCAACTAAATAGTTCCTTATAAAGCAAAATTGTCTATTAAATAGTTCCTTATAAACCATCGAATAAGTTGAAGATAAAGTAATTAAAACTCGCGTTTTTACAAAAATTGGATGCAGCAACAGCAAAAAAAAATCTTTCAACAAATTTTTCCTAAAAAATGTAGCGAATCTGAAAGAAAACCCGAGTATTTCTTTTGTGGTAACATTACCGGGAAATTTTCAGTTTTATTATTTACAGCATCTAACCAGCTCCCCACCATGTGATCACTGTCCGTGGCGAAAATGTCATTTTTGGTTTTTTGTCGGTTTTTTGGAGAATTTCAACAGAATTAGTTACAATAAAGCGCATCAGGGGCGGATCTAGGATTTTCTCGAGGGGGGGGCGGATTTTCAAAAAATTTTCCAAAATTTTGACGACCTTTTTTTTTTTTTTAGGTCGACCAAATTGATTTTTCGAGCTCTCCCAAAGCACTGTTTTTGAGGGAACTTTTTTGAAAAAACAGTCAAAAAAGCCGTTTTTGGGCAATTTTTGAAAAATTTTGACAAAAAAATCGCGTTTTTTTGGCGCGCGCTCCCCCTCAAAATTAGTATATATTGGCGCCAAAGGCGCCTTTAGAAAAATTTTAGGGTCGGTCGGCCAAAAATGGATTTCTGAAAAAGTATCAAAGGGGGGACCCTTTGGGTCGGCAGGGGGTCGAATCCCTGAGGGGGGGGCGTCCGCCCCCCCCCCCCTAAATCCGCCCCTGAAGCGCATACCTGATTATTACTTACAATGAACGAAAATAATTTTCGCTTATGTACGATATGCAGTTTTTAGCAAAATTACATTTTTGGACACTAGTCCATCAAAGCTTGACCTAACGAAGTCTTTAATTAGACTTTAAGGGCATAGATCAGTACCAACAGCTTCAATTTTTCTCAGAAACGCATAATTCAACGCTTAGCATATTTTTTATCACAACTTTCTGATAATCATCCAGTTTTTGCTTCAGAGTACTGAAAATCTTTCGATTTCACCCGCGCATGAAGGAGTTTAGCCGGAATTTTAATCACAATCTTCAGTTTGTGGTTCTTTTTTGCTGTTTCCAAGACAACTGAGATCAAATTTGTGTTTTTTAATGCTTTTTTTCTCAATTAAAAGCGGAAGGGGTTTAAAAATTGATTTATTTTTTCCGCTCCCTCTAAACCATAAACATAATACCATTTTTAATTTTTATCCTCAAATTAGAACGTGATTAAAAATCTAAACAAATCTCCAACATATTAGACTCTAAAGACGGTTAGAATTCAAATTTCAAAAAAGTTCATTTGTATCAGAAACTGTTTTGAACATTTTTCATCTTAGTTGTTGTTTTAGATGGGATTTGACGCGCCCTCTGTGCTGAATGTGACTGTAGCGAAGACTGTGGCTAATATGAGATTCACTTCAGCCGACTGCGGCTGTGACCACTCAGCCCTCATAGACGGTAAATTGTCATGTGAACCAGCCGGAACGACATTAAAAATACAAAACTGCTTAGTCGATTCAGCCCGAAAAAAGCAATTATTTTTATACTTTTTGTTCCGACTTTCGATACGAAAGTGACGGAATATTTGTGCTCGGGGTGGGTTTTTTTTTTTCTTCAGACAAATTTCGACTTTTTAACTAGCCATTTTTGACGGAATGTTTTTATATCATTCGAAAGCTATTGTTTTCCTGAGCTTGAATTTGAAAAGATTTTTTACCTGTGATCATTTTTCTTAAAGTTATGGGGGTTTAAAGATTGCCATTTTGGCCAATTTGGGACAATTAACGCGCGATAAATTTCGCGCTATTAACGCGTAAGCGAGATTTAAACCGACTTAGAAATCGTTCCAAAATGGTTCAAGGAAGCTTAAATGCCATAATTGATTTGTTAATAGGCGCAAAATCTATCATTTTGTACTTAATATGACGTGTGGGGGGATGCTTTTACATAAAATCTCAAATTTTTTCAAAAAATTTTTTTTTAAATTTTTTTATTACATTGAAACGTTTCATGTTATTAATGCTCCATAGACCTTAAGAGGCAGTCGGAACATTCAGGGCTTTGCGCTCATACGAGCAGTCTTGTATATTTTTATAACAGTTATACCCAAAAAGGCAAGTCATTGTAAATGAAAACAGCGAAAACAAAATTTGGTTTCAAGAAATTAAATGAGACCCAATAATTCAATGACAGGTTATTGGAACGGATGAAAAGACAAAAGACGAGTAAGTGCCTCATTAGAGTCTGTCTACCTCGCATCTATTTCAATGACATTTACAAGACATATTTACATATTACCTTTACATATTTTTACCTGACTAATTAGGCATTTCATTGTGTTTTAAAGCTGATTGAAAGAAAAAGCTCGCTACTCAAGTAGCTCATCAGAATATATCGACCACAAATATTGATTTCTGTCCTGGCGAAATGATTGACCCGCAGGCTACAATATGCTTGATCAGTAGACTAATGAAGCATTTATCTTTAACAATTCGAAAATACAGTCGGTTGTTTGAAAAAAAAATCGATCTTTCAAGGCCAAATGTTTGGGCCTGCAGGTTATAATAAGCTTTCAAATTAAGATGATGAAGCATTTAATAGTTGAAAAAAATTGGAAGAGTAAAGATTTGTCTTGGTTCATCCAACATACATGTGTAGTGGTTCATCCTATAAGTGAAGGCACTTTCGAAGACTCGCTAATTTATAATGAAAACTTAAAAGATCATACTTGTTTGCTGTTGTTTCTGAGCCCTGGTTGCGGTGCGCCCGGATTGCTCTAGCCGAATCCAAAGAACGTTGGGACCTCCGTCGGCCGACGCCGCTAGTCTTTTGGGGTCAGGTTTGTCCTATTTTGGGGAGAATTAAATACGTTTAGTGCTGGGAGGCAGGGCAGTTTTTTGTTTTTTTTTGGGGGGGGGGGAGGGGGGCTGTATCTTGATATATGGTGAGCGAGGGTGCACCTAGTCGAGAGTGTGAGGGCCAGTTGTGTTTTTGAAACTGCTGGGGTTCTCAAAAGGAGCACTTTCGGGCATCATGTTCGTCTATGGCTTTATGCACTCTGTTGGTATGACGATGCTTTAACAATCTTTTAAAATGGCTGTTTTTGAACAAATTTAGGTAAATTAACATCATTTAAAGAGTCAGGCTTGTTTTCTTCTAATAACATTCGGTCAAATTCTTCTTTATAAGACTCCATGCATAGCTGGTGGGTACTCGAGGGTTAAAATGGAAAAAAAATGAAGCGGGTTTATTGGGAATACAGTCTTGAGGGCGATTTGGGGGCAAGTTGTTTGTGGTGATTTTCGACCTTAGGTTGCGTGCACTCCCACTGTAAGTGGTCAATGGGACTCATCTTAGTTCACCCCGTCATTATCCGCAGAGCAGCGTTTTTCAGAATTTGCGTTTATGGATATATCACTTGAAATGTGAGACTTTTAAAATTTAGTAAGTAGTAGTTGAAGTTTTTCGTGTTCAGTTAAATAATCAGTTTGAATCAAACAGCACTTTAGGGCTGCTATCCTGCTTTTGGTTTTGCTTTCTGCACGTTTGCAGTGTTCGTCAAAGTTGAGCGAGCGGCCGAAGAAGAAACAGAGTTTGCTTTTGACGGGCACCAATTTTTCACAAAAAGTAAATTTGGGGTCAGAAGCAAACAAAAATTTTTTTAAAGGGCCATTTTTTGAGAAAAATTCAAGCGGTGTACTCGTTAAAAAAATCGTGCTCTTGTACGTACGGTCGTGCTATGTTTCGACCGGCTCAACCCAATCGGATTTTGTTTGGAAGGACTCGACCAAGAAAATGTGTTCAACTGCGTTTTGAGTTCACTGTTCTGACCGGGCTGGCCCAAACAAAACTGAAAGTGACTCCGGGTATTCCCCTGGAATATTGCGGCATGTACGATTTTTCAATTTGAATTAACAGTTTGGTCAAAAAAGTGAGAAAGTTGATGTGGTCCTTTTTAAAATGCGTCTCATTGAGAAAACTACAAAAACGCAGAGAAAATTACTGAATTAGGCACAATTGACTTTGGTTGCTTGGTTATTTTCAAGCAAGTGACTTGATCAAATGACTGGCAACAAAAAGTTGAAATTTTTCAAATGAGAATTTTAGTTTTGCAGTTTTAGTATTGACAGAAGAGAACCTTTTTTGCTAAACGAAACTTCGCAAACTAGTTTTTTGAAAATAATTTTAAAGCCTAAATAAAAATTGAATTTTCAAAGAACGAGCGTTGCTCAATCGCTTTTTTCTCTCGAAAATGAATTAACTCTTTTCGATTTTGGGACAAATATTGAATGTCTTTCGAATCAAGGTTGAAGATTAATTTAGCTGTCCACTAAAAACAACAATTATATGTAGTTCCTGATTTCAATTGAAAAACAACAAAATAAAAATTTAATTGAATACGAGTTCCTGCCTATTGTCAATGCTCGGAACAGAAAGAAACAATGTATTTCGGTTTTCGGAGTTGAAATAGACGCACAAGAACAGCATCACTTGAAGTAAAAGCATCTTGTATACGATCGGAACGCCATGAAACACATAGTCACGACAAGAGTTACCTTGATCACACTCAGAAGCGCAGATGAAAACCGAGAACAAAAAGTATCATATGATCTCCAATCAAATTGTGATACAGAATTTGACTCAGATATTTGGCTAGCCCCTTAGTTAAACTGCCATTGATAATGTCCACTACTGTGCAATGGCAGAACACATCGAAGGCTTAGGGCAAATCTAACGTGGCCCGCATAGTTCTTTCATATTTTTTTTTGATGAAAACCGTTGCTTCTGAAAATACGTCCGATTCCAATGCTTTTGATGGTTTAGCTGCTTTGACTGCCGCATCTGCTTCGCGCGGGAGAGAATTAAGTCGATCGATGAGCGTTAGTTTCAGCTTTGTTTGTTTGTTTTTCTGTTTTTTTTTGTTGAGTTCATGGGTTTTGAGTTTTGTGTGAGTGTTAAAAGCGTTTGCTATTGGTTAAGCCTTCGATAGGTTTTTGCCATTAAAAGAAATTGAATGATACCTTTTCACAAATTAGGTTCAATTTCAGAAGCGAACCACTCTTCCGAACTTCCGGGAGTGTTTCCATTATTTCTTCTCATTTTCTTTGCCGTGTTTCTCATTAAAATTAGTCCAGGTTTTTAAAACAAGGTTATTGAGTTTTCTTTTGATTTCATTGCGTTTGCAAGTTTTTTTTGGCTTTGTCTCTTTAGGCAGATCTACAAAAACGAGGGTATCCTGCCGTAATATTGCGCGGGACTGCCTTCAGACTAGTGCTGTTTAAAAAACTTTGGCGACTTTAACGCCCTGCATAAAAAAATTTAGGAAATTCCATTTGAATTTCTTTTGTAATTTCGCCCTAGTTTGCTTTGTTAAAATGTATAAAGGCTTTTTGGCAGTAAAAGGAGTATCATCGTTAAGGGATACTTATTAAATTAGCTAAATGGTCTCACACAAGAGATAAAAATGGTATCCAGTTTGAAGATAACAAAAAGCAACGATGATGCTAAGGATAAGTCGACGAACGTTAAACGAGTTCGAGTAAGGTTTCCTAAAGGTCTGATGTCAAAGTCGGTAATTTCTGTGCCTACAGAAACGCCTCTGTTATTCTTCGCCTCATTTAAATACCAAAAAGAGGAGTAGGCATTGTCATCTCCCATGACATCTGCATTGTCTTCCGCGAGCATTTGATTTGAAAAAAAAAAGATTTATAGTCGTTTAGGCAGCTGCTACGCAGCCAATATGGAAGTTGGTGAAATCGGAAACTTCGGTTTTTGGCCATTAATTTAAAATTTGCGCCTCTTATCTCCCGTCTTTCATTGTTTGCAACTCTTAGACGACAAGCAAGTTGTGTAGAAATTAGTCCACCTTCCTCACGAGGGCGGTCCTTTCTGATGATAGTAACTCTTACCAACCTGAAAAATTTAACCTTCCTCGCGAGGGCGGTCTTTTCTGATGATAGTGATTTTTGACCAACCTGAAAAACGAAAGTCAAATTTTCCTGGCCTTGTGTTGGCTTTTGATGCGTGAAGTCAATCAGTAGTTCAGTTTTTGCCCTTGCGATGAGCAAGGAAGTTGCGATCATGTGCAAGAAACAACTTTATTTCCTCGGGTATAACTTTTTTCACAGGACGTACGGTGGAATTACTGGTTATCTCCAAATATGTGTGTTCGTAAACGAAATGACAATTTATGAGCATGTTTTGTCGCGTGATTGGTGGAAGGCATAAAAATTATTACCATCAGGCTGATGTTAGACTTCCATGAAAAAAATTTAGAGCCTCATGCACTTGAAGAATAAAAACAATGGGCGAGAAGAAAGTATCTTGGGAGACGCCTGCACGTACGATCGTGATATTTTTCGACCGGCTCAACCGAATCAGGTTATTTTTTTGAACCACTTGATCAAAGGAAGAATGCTTTCAACTGGGTTAGAACATCTGTCGACTTGATACAACAATTATTTTTGGAACCTGATTTCAAGTGGAGAACATCTAAGTAAACATTTTACTTGAATACAAAGTTCCTGCCTATTCAATAATTTTCTTCATTGTCGAACTGAAGCAGACGCATACGAACAGGACCATTTGAAGTAAAAGCGTCTTTTATAAGATCTGAATGCAATGAAACACATTACTGACGGCAAGAGTTACCTTGATCGCTCTTAGAAGCAGATGAATTTAGCAGATGAAAATCGAGAACAAAAAGTATCAGATGATTTCCAATCAAATTGTGATACAGAATTCGACTCAGATGTTTAGCTAGCCACTGAGTTTAACTATCTCGTACAGTGGTGCCATTGATAAGGTCCAATAAAGGGCAATGGCAGAACAGAACAAATGCTTTGGATAAAACTAACGTGGCCCCTATAGTTCCTTCATGTGGTTATTTCTGATTAAAATCGTTGTTAATAAAAGCTCAAGAGTTGAGAATGCCGTTGGGGTGGAGGGGACAAAAGCCGTCCTAATAGTCACTTTTAGGAGGTTCTTTGTGAGTAGAAATGATTACAAATTCATGATGGAATAAATAATGCGCAGGAAATGTAGAAATGCTGCAATTTCTCATGCTTTCTTTAATATCAGATTTTTTATAGAGTCCGGTGAGTTACCGGGAGGTATTGGTTAAGGCGGGTGAATAGTTAAAGAAGTAGTTGCGATTGGGTAATAAAGTTTCTTGTGCTCATTTGGGGGATTTGGTACTCGGTTTGCGAAATAAGTAGTCTTAGGATTGGTTGGCTTTTTAGTTGTATCGTCTATTGGGAGGAGCAGGATATGGTTGTTTGTTTTTGTATAGGTAAAGCATTAAAAATTGAAGCTTGCGAGTCCAATACATCCTAGGTGGATTCATCTGCATATGTGACCCAATTAACTTGCTGGTATGCGGAAGAGAGGGCAGATAAAGGGATCATGGTTAATAACGGCGCGCAAAAGGAAAATAAATATTAATAGACGGAGCAACCAAAAACACGGTTCGGGCATGCTTTCGGCACTCCCAAATACAGTAGTGAGTTTTTGTGCCCTTTACCTGTTCCTCTCGACACTGAGAAAAATTTCAGAAACTGAGTTGTTCAGGGGCTTTTGTTGGATACCAATAAATGTCACCTCTACGTGCTTTTGTCGAGGTACCTAAAATTGGACAAAAACGATCGCCGTACATCACAAAAAGTTCAAGCAATTACGTTTTTCCAAAGGCAAATGTAATTAGCAATAACTATTTTAAAATAAGTAAATTATCTATTCTAAAATATCTATATCTATCGGTAAAAACAATTAGGCGCGCTAAAATTTGGGATGAAAACGGAAATAGAATTTGGTCAAAACATACGTTTCTCGTTATCGGAAAAAAGGAATGCATGCCTTTTTGCCAAATAAATGATCGATGATATGAAAAAGCAGATCAGATGCCACTGCAGCGCAGCAATATTTCTCAAAAAAAATTCGGAGGGATTGACACCTTGGTGAGAGAAAATCAGCTTGTGATTTAATGTTATTTATTTATTTTTGCTTAATTTGTCTTGGTTGCAGTGCATGGACGTGTGGTGACGCTGGGGGACAATAGCAGGGGCCAGCTGGGAATTGGGGGCACAAGTGGCAGCTACTCGTCTGAGGCAGGGGGCGTTAATATGCATGTGTTGCGGGGGGTGTTTGTGGGCAAAAAGTGTCAGCGACTGTCCTGTGGAGACTATTTCACTGTAGCTGCCACATCAGGTGACCGTTTTATCTGGCTCATATACTCTACATTATTTCCTGTTAAACTCTAAACTTCAGTTCGAGAGGGGAGATAGATGAAAGCAAGCAGTTTTTTTTCTGGTTAATGGTGTGTAGCGTTTTTCGTGAAATTCTTTTATCAAACTAATGGACTGCTATTACCATGATCCGCCCACGATGTGAAAAACTATGTGCTCAAAACGCATAAATTGATGGTTATTGTACACAGATTTTGCTTTTATTAATATTTTCCCTACAATTTTTATGGGCCGCATTTTAGAAATCGTTGCATAAACATTAAATTAGTCATATTAGTAACATTTTCATGCATTTCAAAAGTTAAATGCTCGGCATGAAGTCCTCTAGCCTTGAATTCCCGTCTGACTCTTGTCCTAGAACCGTGTTTAAGAACTGACACTCTGGGTACCGCAATCAAGCGTCAGATCTATCATACTAAAGGCCTTGTAGTCGAGATTTGGTTGATATTTATTACGTTAACCGAATGCTTTTTCAATTCATCAATTGGAGCGAAAAAAGCTATTTGCTTCATACAACAGTGTAATAATAACTCTTTTTCAGAAATTTTCCAATTCAGTATTTTTGCGAACTTTTTAAATGCATAATTTATACAAAATGTTGCTTTACATTTTCCACTTTTTTGCATGCAAATTTATAGTGGTTGCCTTTAATTTATTACATTTTAAAATATTACATGTAATATTTGTGTTTTTATTGGGTATATAGACTTTTTTCGGGTAAACAACTTGTTGAACAGAATCACTTGATATCTCGGTTTATAATGAATTCAAATTTCTAAGCGTCTGCGGCAAATTTAGTCTGGAGGTAACGAATTCGCCTGCGATGGCAAAGGTTCTGGGTTTGAATTTGGCCAGGGCCTGTTTTTTTTTCAAACGGGAAATTCTTCATTTCAAAAAAATTGTCGGCCTATGATTGTCTGCTTATGTTTTGTCGGCTGTTGCCACATCTTAGAAATATTTTTTGCTGCATGTAGTTTTCATTGTAGTTGTTTTTCATATTTTCATTTACTACTGCATTTTGTAATTCTACTACTCTTCACTTCATATATTTTCTTTTTTTTCGTTTAAAAATTTTTCGTCCTAAATCGTTTCAGCTTATATTTTATCGGCTTACTCACGTAGGTTTGGATTGTTCCAGGTAATCATCATTTGTATGATTTCTTCCGGATTTAACTTTATGTTAAAAATCTCAGAATAGAGTTTATAGTTCATGGCAGCAATTTTAGTTTCGCTCAAAAGTTATTTTTGAATTTTCATTAGACGCCGTAGAATGTGTTTCTGGACGAGTTTGCTGCAAATATAACGTCATTTTGAAGTTTTTTAATTGACAACATTTTGAAGTTTTTTGCAAATTTATCCGTGTTCTTTGGACTTAGTGGCTATCTTTTCCTTTCCTGTCTGCTAGCTTTTAATGCTATTCTTGTGGTATCGCAAGTGATGCGAAGCTCCGCTTCGCTGCTGGGTTAAATAGTTTGTTTTCCTCGTTGCGCAAGCCAACCTTTCTGTTAGAAAACTTTTTTCCAACCTAACTTGCATAAATTAGCGCCCAATAAACTATTGTTCTATTTCATTATATGGGTTGCTGTTATTCTATTTGTCTTATTACGGCTTGTTATTGTATTTTGTTGCATTTTAAAGCTCCCTTAGGTCATTATGCTTGTGTTTGCGAAATACAGCGTGTGTATTTATGAAAAAAGCTTGTGTTTAGACACAATAATCAGTTGCTTTTGTGCTTGAAAACATGTTATAGGCAAAGCATGTAGCATCTGATTTTAAATGAAGAAATATTTCGTAATAAAATTTGCTTCGACACATTAAAAACAATGTAGTAACAAAAGTTAGTACTTGCAACCATTGAGTCTTTTCCAAAGTTACTGCTCCGACCATTGAAAATTGCGAGGAACTTTGTATTCGGGTGTTTAAGTTTTGTTCCGACAATTAACAAATAGTGAGGAAAATTGTATTCGAGTGTGTTATAGTTTTGTTTTCATTTTCACTCAAAACCAGGTATTACAAGTAATCATCGTAATAAGTCGAGTGATATATCAGTTCAATACACTTTCAGTCACGATTTGATAGACATTTTTAAAAAAAAATTGAAAAGTTGTCTTATTGTCGAGAAAAACCGGTTTGAACTTTTTGAGTTATAGTCAAATTTCGAGCGATCGAGTAATGCTCGTTATTTGAAAACATGAAAATTTTAAATTAGTGTGCACAAGTATCAAACCGCTTTGGAAATTTTTTGATCTATTGTTTGTCATTCGTTTTTTGAAAACAAATGTTGTCCATTATGCCTAATTCACATACTTTCTCCACGTTTGTATAGTTCTCTCATTACGCTCTTAAAACGACACTGAATTAAGATAAAATAAATATAAAACTTTTTTCTCTGTAGTTTTTTATGAATATGTTCGGAGCATTCTGTTTTACGTGCAGAGCTACCGGCTATGCTTGTTTTTGAGTGTTTTCAAATCTCAAAGCATTTTACCTAGAATGCATGTTATTTCATGTGTCAGACAACGAGGTGTTTGCCTGGGGTCTGGCTTCTGACGGAAGACTGGGGTTCGATCCCAGCACCCTCAGCACCACAAATAACGCAAGCGGGAGAAGTAGCAGTAGCAGTGTGAACAGAGGAGCAGAGTGCACCGTGAACAGGCCGAAGCCAGTATTCGGGGCACTGCACTCTGTCACTGCTCTAGCATCAGCTCACTGGCACACACTTCTCATAGCAGGTGAGTTAGGGTCCCCTACCTACCCATAAATTGCAACATGAAATAACATGTTGTAATTTATGGTATAAACAAAGTTGATTTATAATAATCATAACAAAAATTGATCATATAAAAGTTGATTGCAAAGATGATATTAACAATCATAAAATTACAATTACACACGCGAAGCTTAGTGAATTATTACGAAGCTTTTTTAAACCTTAGTCGCAAATAAAAGTGCTCATTTGGTGGCATTTTTGGTATATTTCAATATAGTCATATTTACGCATAAACAATTTAATGGCATATGCTGCTGATTTTTTTTTGCTAGTGTTGGGTCCTAATTGAGAAAAGTTTGCATAATGAAAATGTATGGGATTTATTGTTTTTAGTTTTTTTGCGAAGCTTTGGAAAGTTTTTGCATTTCTCGCTGAAATTTCAATTTTTCTCAAAAACTACTGAGCCGGTTTTTCATCGGTATCAAAAAAATGAAACCGATGGAAAAATCGGCTGCTATTCTATGTGTCTGCATATTTCGCTAGTCTCTTTCCATTTTACCTCACGTTGGACGGCCTTCGAAAAATTCAGTAGGGAGGATTTTGACCTATTTGTTTTGAATTTTTTTAATTTTCTGAAATATTAAATGCACAAAATTGAGATGACGGTTTCAATCAAAAGAGCAAATAATGGGGATTCCCACCTTTATCATGTGGCTATTCCCTAAATTTGATCGAAAAAAGTTATGGCCTGAAACAAGCCCTTTTTGAAATTTTGGTTAATTTTAAAAACTTTTTCACTTTTCTCAAAATATACACTGCCGAATTGGAGACTTAGGTTTTAAACGAAAATAAATCAGTTATGTGAATCTTACCTGCGCAATTGGCTATGCCCTGTGTTATGGTTAAAAAATGGCTTTGGAAATTGCTCGTTTTTTGGAAATTTAATTTAAAAAAACTAACCTGCGGATTCTGAGGTTGATGGTTCGATAAAAGTGACATGATGCTTAGATTATGCCTGTGTTATAATTGTTACCGTGTTTTTTGTAGAAAAGCTGATATGGACTTCAAAAAAATTCTTTTTAAAGTCTTTACCATTTTTTTGAGAGTTTTCGTAACTATTCTCGAAAACTACTTGCTAAATCTGATATTAAGGGTTCAATCTAACAAATCAGGGCGAGGAAATCTTCAATTTTAAAAACATGGTTGGAAAGCAGAGGCTATTACCCTGCTTTAAAAGAGAACTTTTGTTGGATTCAGGAAAAACAAATTTTTGGTCGATTTTTGTAATCTTTTGCACTTTTTTTTCGAAAACTACCCAGCCAAGTCTGAGATAAATTTTCTCCTTGAAATAAACGGTTAATCCCCTACTTAAGCAGAGAAACACTAGGATTTAGCGTAAAGTCCATTTTTTTGAAATTTCGAAAATTACGCTTTTCCGTATCAGTCCAATATATGATTTAAAATATTAGAACAGTTAGATCCAGCGTTAGCTGGGCCACTGATTTACTTCCAAGCGACCGTGGCGCAGATGCGAGGACGCTAGACTCATAATCAACAGGTCGGATATTCAAACCTGAAACAAATTTAATTTATTCAAATATAATCAAACAAATAATTTGTTTTTGTTGAATGCTCATCCGAATAAAAACCGTTAGGCTACAAAACTTTTAGCATTCGCCATTTGAGAGCAATTTAGAAGTATAATATGTGCAATTTTTGTTGCGTTAAATTCAATAGTGCACTGAAACAGTTTTTTTTGAAATGGAACAATAATTACGTATAAACTATTCTATAAATGAACGTTTTATGGAAGTTAAGGAAGCTGAGGTATTGTAAGAATAAAGTAAATTTTTGGTGTAAAAAAGACCAAAACTTTTGAAGTCATCAAATTTTCACCAGAAATTGTTTACCCGACAGTTCACCTTCGAACATATATGAGTCTTTGATTCTAGGTTGTTTTGTTTATTATAACGAATGTAATGATCAAAGCTCATTGTTAAATAACAATGAAAGAAGTGAAGACAAAAGCTAAAAGGAAAACAAATTTCTTTCCCTAATTATTAAAGTGAATTTAGCGCAAAAAAAAGATGAGTTAATTTAAGGAAATTTTAGATTTCAGATGTTTGTTGGCTGTAAAAGCAACATATCCTAGATCGAAAAAAGGAACAGTAACGACCAAGTGTGGCTTACAATTTTCAAGAGCTTAACAAGTATTCATTTCACGGATATGTAGTTTGAATCTTAATTGTATATAGATATAGTTTTAAATTCAGAGCGGGTGGAGAGTGTGAAGAGTATCAATGTGGACCCGGTGACTTTGGTGTCATGCGCGGACGAGTGGAACGACAGATACGACAACTCCCAAATTGAACAAGTGCCACACCCCCAACACCGCTACAACAATCACAGCAACGACACTACCTCGTCACTCAGCTCAAGTCAGCAGAGAAACTCAGTTATTTTTTTGATAGAATGTGACCATTTTTCTTGCATTTCTGAAAATCAATTGGGCGGATCTGAAAGTTTTTTTTGTCGAATGAGTGCTACGTAAAAACTTCCCGTACACGCAATTTGGCTAGATTGAGTTCCGCTGGATTGGATGGCCAGATTTTTGCAGGAAGTCATTGAACTGAGAGTCTTTGTCTGTTATCAGGTGTGTTTGATTCTGGTGATGGTTCTGTGGTCGGGGGAGTGGCAAAAGTAGTGAAGGTGAGGGCAGGGGTGGGAGTCAATCAGAGTACGTTGGAAGAGACTGAAACCCCCGATTGGCTGAGAGAGGTTTGTTCTTTTCAATCACTGTTTTTCCTCTTTTTCTGTGGAAATTCAAGATGATTTAAGATATTTTAATATTGATGTAGTTTGAATATAAACTGATATATGATTTCAAAAAATGAAGCTCCAGAAAGTATTCTCTTGCTTTTCAAGTTCTCCGCGCATAATGAATGTTTTCTCCAAGAACTAGCTGAGACATATGGGGGTTTTGTTCCGTGGAATTTTTCTGATACTTTGCAAGTTGATTTTGTTGTTGTATTGATTTCACATTTTCAGCCTTTTGCTTGCTCTAAGTGCATTTATCGACTCTGTCTGTTTGCTGATGTAGGAAATGGACGAAGCTGAGTTTATAGCCATGAGTGCCGCAAACCCCCAAAATGTGCAGAGGGCTGAAACAGAAGATGGAGGGAAAGAGAAAACTAATGACGGAAATGAACGAAAGCTCAGCGATGGTTCTCAAACCAAAAGTGGAGAAGACGTGGAGAATGGAGGAGATGCATGGGAGAGTGCTGGAGAGACTAGTGGCCGACTAAGTGGGGGGCAAAATGGTTCTACTGGGGGGTTGTCCCTGGTGTCTCCCCTAACTGGCCACTCTTCTTCGGAGAGTGAGATCAACTGGCTTCGACAGGAGAACCAAAAAGTGAGCATCAAAACAGTCCTTTAGTGTCTACCAAGCACCGCAAGGTAGTCAGAATGTTTTCCTCACGAGCAAATTAGTTCAGCAGCATTGAACTTAAAGATGAATCCAAAAATAGAGTTTTCAGGGGTACTCTCATCATAAAAAGTTTTAGTTCCTATTAGGCGCGTTCAGAATTCTTCGCATGTGTAAAAGGAAAGTAAACTCCACTATCGAACAGTGAACGTGTAAAGGTTACGAAAAACGTGATCGGCTTCCAATTTCGAAAGTGGAATTTGATTATCGAATTTCGTAGCGAAATAAAAGTTATACTTATTGATCCAGTTTTCTCAAATTGGGCTAATTTTATCAAAAAAGTGTCTATCACAAAATATTCTAGAGCTTTAAAACCCTCTTTTTTTGAAAGCTGAGATTTTTTCAAAAAGTAAGTCGGATTTTTTGCTTTTTACTTGCGTTCATTGACTTTTTTGTAACTGTCTGTTGTCACTGTTAAAAAAATTGTTATGAATATACTTTTATCCGTACATGCAAGTTAAGTAAGTTGCTCGCGAGCTCTAGATCAATGTTATTGAAAACATAGGTAGTTTGTGGATTTTTAGTTTTAATAATATGTGTTTTTCTTCAGCTCCAAGAGATTATTCAAGAACAACAAGAGCGCATCAAACAGTTGGAACTGGAAAGAGATGCCGAATCCAGCAATAACTCTTAGAAACTGATGGTTTCCTTAATCTGCTTGGACTTCATGTTTAAGAATAGCAGCAGTAATTATATCCCCACCCCCTTATGAAGCAAAAAACAGGTGATTTTCTATTGGGTGTATATATATTACAGTATTGTTTGGCTCTTTAATGTAAATGTGAGTCCCACCTTAATAATCTCCTAAAGTGCAAACTGGAACTTTTTAGATTTTTCACCATAGTGCTGTTGCCTGTGCAATAATAATTGTATTTGTAGTGTAAATATTATTTGTGTTCCTAGTTGACGAAAATGGCCAATCTTGTAAGTTTCTTGCAATATTCTGGCAGAAAACTGCATTCTCCTTGTCTTTCGAAATAGACCAGAAACGCATACTTCTGGGGAAGCTCTGTTGCGCGCTTTCCTGCGGCTCTTTTGCTCCGGCAAAGTTCACAATTCTCGCTGCTTTATAAATTCGTTTGAGATCTTTTTAAAAAATGAGAATTTGCACTTCACCTAGCGCTTTAATTGAAAACTAAATTCCGATAGCGGCAAAGAAAAACTCCAACACTCTTCTATGCCACGAATACTTCACTGTAATAATTTACAATTGATACTAAGAAAAAAATTACTAAGAGGCTGCTCTAAACCACCGATTGACATGCATAACTTGTTCTATAATTTGATCATTTCTATCTTCAATATTCAAGTTTAAGGACCGTTTGTGATTGCCACTTCGCCTGAATTATAAAATTTGAAAAAAAAAATTGAAAAAAAAAAACGAAATTGAAATTTATTATTAGACTCCACTAACTTTGGAAACAAGCAATGAAACTTAAAATGCTGAAACAGCGTTCTACTATACATAAATGCTCAATGTAGTTGTTGATGAAAGACGACCAAAGCAAATTAAAAGCTATGGAGTTAGTGTACGCGTTCCCAACACTTTTCGAAACACTTGAAGTTAAATTCAAATCGTGGAGTGACTTACGCTGCTCCTTAGGTCAATTAGGCTTAAATAACACCCGTATCAAGATTTAGTCGATCTTTGTGATCGTTACATCGTTAAATGAAGATTGAACTGACCTTTAAAGGTTTGATATCTCAGGAATAAATTAATCCACGCCTTTCGGTTATTTGAAAATTAGCAATTACGCCATAAAGTATCAAACGATACTACCGCTACCTGATAAAAACATAGTTCGTAGCTCAACAAAACTAAACAAAAGCCTTTGCATGGTATGTCAAAACGTCTTGAAAAGGTAACTACACTTTTTAAGCTGGAAATCAAAATTTACGAATGCTACTTGAGTAAATTATGTAATATAATAAATACGCGATAACTAAATGTAATGAGATGATTTCCGAAGATGTAATATTACAAATACGCGATAACTAAATGAAATTTCCGAAGATGGCGCGCTTGCTATCAGACTTTTAGCTAGATCAAAATTTTTTAATCAGTTAAAAAACAGCAAAGTGTTTAGTTCACATGACTTTTTTGTTTTGCGCCAGCAAGACTACCAGAAAATGCTGTGAAATTGCAAGCTATTTTGTAAGATTTTGAAAGAATCTTGCAAGAACCTACAAGTTATTTCGGTCGAAAACTGATGGTGTATTATGTAAGATATTGTAAGAATTTTGGAAGATAGCCAGCCACTTACACGATTTTAAAAGATAGGTCTTTTATCGTAGAATCTTACAAGATAGGTCATCTTCGTTAACTAAGGGTGTAAATATTTGAAGTAAAGCACTGTTTTCTATTGTGTAAATCGAAAATTTATCGGTCTGCTAATTTCGTTAGAAGTCTTTGAATAATTACGAGATTGCTATTTCCACGAGATTGCTTGTATCAAGGTGAACCCTTGAATGTTCCGACTGAATTTCATTTTCTTTGGAGCAGTTTAATCTAAAACAATTGATGAAATAGTAAAAAAAAATAAAAGTTTTCGAAAAAAAAGTTTTTTGAAATCATCAACCCATACTCTATGTTAAGTACGAAGTGATATATTTTGCATATTGCAAAATATTAAATAGACTGAAGAAATTAACTCAATAAAGTTTTGAACAATTTTAAACACTGATTAAATTTCTGCCGACGCGTTGTTAGCACGATATAAATCGCGCATTAATTCTCATAAAAAGGCAACATTTGAACCCCCATTACTTTACCCAAAATGATCACAGGTGAAATAGCAAAAGGGAACATTTATTTCTCATCAATTCTGAGCTCAAAAGTAAAAAGATATTTCACCTGTGATCATTTTTCGTAGAGCTCAGGATTAATGACAAGAAAAAATATGTCATTTTTTTATTTTATTCTCGCTGTCTCAAGTACAAGGATGCAGTTTCTTCTGATAACGTATTTGAAGAGTTTGCTGAAAGCGGCATGTTTCGCCTCTTATTTTTTCACTCATTTCGTCCTCATGCGTTTCACCCCAAAGTTATAACACAAGTATAAACAAAAACTTCAGGAGGGGCAAAATGTGCGAGGGGCGAACTGTTAGAATACCGAGTTAGCTATAGCTTGTCTCGATTTAATTCGCCTTTAATGGCATTAAACTGGATGAAGTATATGGGTTACGGAATTGAGAATTTCAGTGTCTGGGATGAAATTTGGCAATAGGTACTTGCTCAAATTATTCTGGCAAGTTGGTTGTCTAATCAACACGTTGGTTGTCTGGCAAGTTGGTTGTCCGCCTTCAGAATTTTCCAGACCTTCAGAATTTCTAATTCTTGCGGTAATATCGTGTCTCTGGTGCTATAAAAATATCTTGTTTTTAATTAATTCCTCAAAATTGTATCAATTTAACCTTTGATACCAACCACAGATGCACCATGAGCTCATTCAGAGCCAACATCGAAAATGCAGCATAGCAGTTGCTGAAGAGCTTTTCATCTTTCTGCTCGTGTCGGAAAACACTGGCAGCCGTCAGCAGGTATCCACGATGGATGAATTTGACATGCAGAGTCACTTACTTTGATTGTGTTTCAACTACGTGTATTATGCCATCTGGCACAACGAGTGCCTGGCTCTCCGTCAGAACAGCTTTCTGACACCCTCCAGCATCACAGCAAGGGCCATCCCCGAGAAACATTGGTTTCCAACCCAGATTTTTCTGAGGTATTTGCTTGTTGATGACCGACGGTGCCATCAAATACAATGCCTTGCAGCCTAAACAAAAAAAAGAACTCAATAGAACAGATTTCTATATTTCGTTTAAGAAATTTGTGCACGAAACTTGGTTTAAACTTTCACTTCAATGTACATCACAGATGTACGGCAGAAGTCCCGGTTAATTGGTGTCACTGCACCAGCCTGCGATAATAGCAGGTAGCTTGACTACTTCTTCGGTACTTCTGTCTTCTCGAACTTCCTCTTATGTATGTGTCCCAACGACACATCCTTGACTGCTTCTGAGACAGAGAATTTCGTGGCGGCCGACAAGGAAGCATCAACATCAATGATGTTTCAGAGGATTGGCGGCATTGATCGGAACACGCTTTGAACATCAGCTGGATCAACTGATCGAATGGGCTCCTAAGGTTAAACACAAATGTCGAGGTTGAACTCTGGACCACTCGGTGACAAAATGGAGTCTAATTACTTTACAAACTGATTACCTTTTCTTAAAGCTGTACCGTCTAGCTATCAGTCCTTCGATGAAAATGTCCCCGTACATTCGGCTGTCAAACTGGCAACTATCCGCAGGCCCTGTTAATTGGCCTTTGAAAAACTTCGTGGATTTAGCCGAAGAAACTAACAAGGGTCATTGTTGGCCAGTTAACCAGTCTAACTAGATCCAGTTGACAAGATCAACCGCAGGCACGCACTCTATTAGACTTGAGATAAGCATGATTTTACAAAATACAGAAAAAGTTGATCAAAAATTAATTGTAAATAACCTGAGCTTATTTTCAGCCCGTCACTTTAAACGAAACAAAAAGCTGATTTATGTCTTTTGAAGTAAAATAAAACGTAATGAACAAAATGCATTCTAACTTAGTTAGGCTCAAACAATCTCCGATTTTGTCTGAACACGTGTATGCGGGATTATAATAAAATATCACGGGCCAGAACAAGCTTTCGATAATGTGACCTTTCTGATAGGGAATAAATTTCTATAGCACATTTCTGTTTAGATAATTGACTCTCTGTAAAGCTTGAATCGTGTTGATAACTCTTGATGCATTACCCATTACGAGGCCAAACTGCAGTCATATGCACACGCCCGGGTTGACAAAAATGACCAACCATACGTCGCACCATGCATGGTTCCATGGAAGCCATGAAAAATTGTCGACGTATTTTTATGCTAAAGTGACACATTTTCCATGCATGGCGCGATGTATTGTTGCATATTTTTTTTTATTATTGGGGACTTCAAATTAGACAATTTTGATAATTTTACTAGGTCTGTTGAGAATTTATTTGTCACCATCGATGCTTGCAATGTATGGTTACTATGGTATCATGCATGGCGCGACTTATGGATACCATGAAAACATATATGGAGCGACGTATGGTTAACAAAGAGCCATATTTGGCGCGACATAGAAACTGAATAATTAAATAAATTCAAAGTTCTCCAAAAATGCTCTGAACGACCTCAAAGACGTTGGCAGTAAAAATCTTTTTTTTCCGCCGTTCAGAGCAAATATTTGGTTCCCAAGCAAAGCACAATATTATCCGATGTAGAAAAGTTTTGCTGATGACGGCAGAAGTCCCGGTTAATTGGTGTCACTGCACCAGCCTGCGATAATAGCAGGTAGCTTGACTACTTCTTCAATACTTCTGTCTTCTCCAACTTCCTCTTATGTATGTGTCCCAACGACACATCCTTGACTGCTTCTGAGACAGAGAATTTCGTGGCGGCCGACAAGGAAGCATCAACATCAATGATGTTTCAGAGGATTGGCGGCATTGATCGGAACACGCTTTGAACATCAGCTGGATCAACTGATCGAATGGGCTCCTAAGGTTAAACACAAATGTCGAGGTTGAACTCTGGACCACTCGGTGACAAAATGGAGTCTAATTACTTTACAAACTGATTACCTTTTCTTAAAGCTGTACCGTCTAGCTATCAGTCCTTCGATGAAAATGTCCCCGTACATTCGGCTGTCAAACTGGCAACTATCCGCAGGCCCTGTTAATTGGCCTTTGAAAAACTTCGTGGATTTAGCCGAAGAAACTAACAAGGGTCATTGTTGGCCAGTTAACCAGTCTAACTAGATCCAGTTGACAAGATCAACCGCAGGCACGCACTCTATTAGACTTGAGATAAGCATGATTTTACAAAATACAGAAAAAAGTTGATCAAAAATTAATTGTAAATAATTTGAGCTTATTTTCAGCCCGTCACTTTAAACGAAACAAAAAGCTGATTTATGTCTTTTGAAGTAAAATAAAACGTAATGAACAAAATGCATTCTAACTTAGTTAGGCTCAAACAATCTCCGATTTTGTCTGAACACGTGTATGCGGGATTATAATAGAATATCACGGGCCAGAACAAGCTTTCGATACTGTGACCTTTCTGATAGGGAATAAATTTCTATAGCACATTTCTGTTTAGATAATTGACTCTCTGTAAAGCTTGAATCGTGTTGATAACTCTTGATGCATTACCCATTACGAGGCCAAACTGCAGTCATATGCACACGCCCGGGTTGACAAAAATGACCAACCATACGTCG